CTGTGATGGTGGTCTCTCTTACTTTGTGCCCTGTGGTGATGGAGGTCTCAGTCTGCACCCTGTGACCACAGGGGCTCAGCTGGTGCCCTGTGAGGCACGCCCACAGAGTGAGGGGAGGAGGGAGTCCTGAACTGATCGTCAGAGTGAGAGACAAGCCCTCCACTGCTATGCTCTTTGCCATGTAAACAGCTCATGTGTTAATGTTAATAGAATAATAAAGGTGGGGGCAGGGAGGGCTTCCAGGGGTAGAAACCTGGGGAATGTGAGTAAAGGGCAGGTATTGGCACATAGGGAGCCAGATAATTGTGAGTCAATTAGAAGAACGGGGGCGGGGGGGCTGAGTGGAGGGAGTGCATATAAGAAAGTAGATATTTGGGGACATCCCAAACTGTCTCATTAATCAGAAGCAGTTGAGAAATCCCAGCAACCTGTGGCTGGGAAGGGTGATGGCCTAGACATGCAGGGAGAGGGACCGTGACAGACAGCAGGTACGGAGGTCCCAGCCTGGGGAGCTCAGGCGTCAGGGACAGGGGGGCAGGCTGGTCTTCAAAGCAGCATGGGAATTCCTCAGTCCTTTTCTCCGACAGGCTCATAATATCACTTCCTGACATTCACTAAAACTGTAGGTTTTAATGCAATGACCTAGCTGGTAGGAGCTGCGCTCCTGAAGTTGGACAGTTCAAATCCACTAGCTGCTCCTTGGGAGAGTGATGAGCAATCTCTTCCTGTGCAACTCACAGCCGCAGAAAACTCACTTGAGGGTCAGCTAGGAGTTGGTTCCAACTCAACAGCAATGTGTTTGTTGTTGTTGCTGTTGTGTACCTTTGAGTTGGAACCAACTGATGGCTGACCCTCTAGCAGGTTTTCAGAGGAAGTAACTCACTCAGGGGGAGATTGCCTATCCTTCTCCCATGGATCAGCTGGTGGCTTCGAACTGCGATTCTTCGGACTGGCAGTGAAACTCATCTCCCTCCATTAAGCTGCCAGTGCTCCCAATAGTTTGGAGGTTGATGTTGTTGTCATGTGCTTTCAAGTCACCTGCAACTCATAGTGACCCTATGTACAACAGCCCTAAACCTTGCTCTGTCCTATACCAGCCTCACTGTCTCTGACACTGTCCCCCCACTACCCCAGTCACTGAATCAATCCATCTCATCGAAGATCTTCCTCTCCTGTGCTGTCTCTCCACCCTCCCAAGCATGAAGTCCTCTCCAAGGACTGGTCCCTCCTTACAGCATGTCCAAAGTATGTCAGACTAAGCTTCAGAATCCTTGCCTCCAAGGAGCAGCCTGGTTTCACTCTCTCCAGGATAAACCTGTTCATTTTCTTAGCAGTCCATGGTATATCCAATACTCTTCTCCAGCACCACAGCTCAAAGGTATGCCTTTGAGTCTGAAGGTATTTTTATTGTAGCAACTCTGATTCTGATATTATGTTTACTCTGACATTTAGCTTTTTTTGCATATGCTGTTGTATACCGTAGAGTCAGAACTGACCCGTAGCTGACCCTCTGGTGGGTTTTCAGAGGTAGTTAATCCCATGAGAGGAGATGGCCCATCCATTTTCTGTGGAGCACCTGGTGGCCTCGAACCGTGTGCCTTCAGGATTGCAATGCAGCTTCTTGCCACTAGGCCACCAGAGCTCCCTTTGCATATACTACATGTTGTTGTTATGTGCTGTCGAGTCACTTGCGACTCATAGCGACCCTATGTACAACAGTCCTAAATCTGCTCTGTCCTGTGCCAATCGCACTGTCTCTGACACTCTCATCCCGATTATCCCAGTCACTGAATCAATCCACCTCATAGAGGGCCTTCCCCTCCTGCGCTGTCCCTCCACCCTACCAAGCATGATGTCCTTCTCCAAGGATCGGTCTCTCCTCACAACATGTCCAAAGTATGTTAGACGGAGCCTCAGAATCCTTGTCTCCAAGGAGCCACCCGGTTTAACCCTTTCCAGGATGAATCTGTTTGTTTTCCTAGCAGTCCATGGTATTCTCAATACTCTTCTCCAGCACCACAGCTCAAAGGCATCAATTCTCCTTCTATCCTCTTTGGTCATTGTCCAACTCTCTGATGCATAACAAGTGATTGTGAAGACCATGGCCTGTATCAGATGCACCTTAGTCTCCAGAGAGACACCATCGCTCTTCAGTACTTTGGAGAGGTCCCTAACAGCAGACTTTCCCATGGCAATGCGCCTTTTAATTTCCTGGCTGCTGGTGCCAAGACTGTTGACTGTGGAGCCAAGCAAACTAAAGCTGTGTACAATCTCAATGTCTTCACCATCCATCCTGATGCTGCCAATTGGCCCAGTGGTGAGAATCTTTATCTTCTTGACATTGAGCCTCAATCCATATTGGAGGCTGCAGTCCTTGACCCTCTGCACCATGCACTTAAGGTCCTCCTCAGTTTCAGCAAGCAGGGTTGTGTCATCCGCATAACGCAGATTGTTGATAAATCGTCCACCAACCTTGACCCTACATTTCTCCTCATAGAGCCCAGCCTCCCGGATAATCTGTTCTGCATATAGGTTGAAAAGGTATGGAGATATTATTATTATTTTTAAAAAGACCAAACATGGGAGTTCTAGTGGCCTAGTGGCAAGAAGCTGTGTTGCAATCCCAAAGACACTCAGTTTGAATCCACCAGATGCTCTGCCAGAGAAGGAGGGGCAATTTGCTGCTGTACCAATAGGATCCAATTCAATGGCACGCGCACACACACACACACACACACACACACACACACACACACATATAAAATTAAAAACAAAGAAATAAATAAAAATAATAAAAAAATTTTTAAAAGCCCAAATATAAGTTGCAGTATTTTTTTTTAGCCGAATTAACAAAGTTTATTTTGAGTTTGAACCCGGGCTCCCGCGTGCTGACACCGCAGCATCCACCCGAGAGCCAAGTTGCAGTATTTTAAAACATTAGGAAACCTACACATGAAAACATGAAAAGTCAGCAATGAGAGTGAGACTGTTTAATGATTACTTTTTGATGGCAGTCTGTTCACATTTGCCTGTCCCATGAAATACAGCATTACTTGGACATTCACACTCCACTAGGCACATAAGAAATTACAAAAGAGAGAGGGACTTTTAAAACCACATTTAATGTTTAATACAAAATCTGTTGCACTATAAGAGACGTGACTCCTTCATGCACAGATAAATTCAGCATCTACCACCACTTAAGAGTAAAAACTTGGAGCGTTCCTCCCACACGTTGGCAAATTGAAAGCAGCTTTCATCTTTGTGCTCTCGGATGCAAGGGAAGTCTGTTTTGTCCCTTTGGATTTCAAAAGGACTGGGTGATCTGGGAAGACCAAGTACAGAGACCTGAAAACAGGGCCATCTTCACCTGGATTTACTTCAAACTGTGCTTTACCTACATATATGAAAGCCAGTGACTTAGCCTATTGAACCCACAGGCAAAGTTCTGAAGATTTCATTTTCAGAAACTGGCTGTCGATATACAGAATAGTTCACTATTTCAGTTTCACAGCAAAAGGGAAAAACAAATAAATCCAAAAGCTATTTAGTAGATGCTTTCCAATCCCATGAACTCCATTAACTAGCTTACTTCTTACACAGTACAGCATAAACATTGTCAGCATGTTTATTTGTATGTGACGCCTATCAGCAAATAGCATCTACACTTTAAGTGTATTTACACATTCAACAAAATATCTACATATCAAAAGCTTTACTTAAAATTAAACTTGATGCAAGTTATGAGAAACCAATTTATTGGCAAATGAAACTGAGCATTCCTTCAACCATAGGTTGTTATAGAATTTCATATTTGGAGGTAAACCATTCAGTAGATATCATTCATGAATATGAGAGACTATATATATTTCTTTTTGAAACTGCAGATGGAATCATTTGGACTGTTGGCCTTGTTAGAACTTGTCAGATTCTTAGATCCTGACATGTGTCCATAGCAATTTGCATACACATTGCTTAATGCTTCAGAGTTGCAAAAGCGACCATGTAAGTAAAAACTTAAGAGAATAATTATTATTGTTGGCATGCTGTTGTAAGGATTTTTTCAAAAATTATTTTTAGGATAACCTAAAAATTGCTTAAAGCAAATTGACATCCTTCTTTCTGAATTTGACATGTTTTAATAGAAACCATGAGGCCAATGAATCAATATCTATTCTAGTTGGTGATAAAGCACTCCTTATTTATTCTTAAGGGAATACAAAAGCTCCTTAACATAAATTCTCTATGAATTATTATTGTTTTCCTGTTTTCAGCATTGCCATTTTCATGATCTATGCTTTTGAAAAGTTACTTCCTGACAGTGACAGTAATAGAGAACCCAGAGCTGGCTCTCTTGGCTAATCATACAGAACACAGCGTGTTATGGAATGTGTATTGTCTGAAGGCACGGCATGTTCTCTTGTCTCCTGGAATATATTTTGAAATTGATTTCTTGCAGCTTGTTTTCGGTTATTTCAGGGTGGCACAGTGCCAAAATGCATGGCAATGTCCAGTATTTATAAGTAGCAACAACGGAATATAGAGATGCTGGAAAGAGTAGAACACTGTGCTGTTGTGAATGCTGGCAGATTAAGAAGGCTACGAAGTAACAAGAGCAAAGAGCAAAGGTACTAGAATCTCAGTAAGCATCAGCAAATGCAACTGTCATAATGAACTCATTTAGCAAGGATATACTGTACACACTGTTCCTAACAGTCTCCCCAAAAGACTAACAACAGCTAGACATAGAGTCACCAAATTCCACAGCAATGTCCACAAAGACATTGAGGTTCTAGAAAATACTACAGTAACACTCTTGACAATGAAAACGGAATTCATATTTAAGGGTTCAGCGGAAGACAGTATATAAACAAAGTATCAAACCATGTTTTAATAACAGACACAGGATGTCCTTTAAAGGTGTGGCATTGGTCATGCATCAGATAGAACTGCGTCCTTAAGAGGAAATAACATGATCTGTTGATGGCATTGCAGTATTGTATCAGTTCAGAAGAAACCAAGAGTACGCACTTTTGAACAAAAAAGTATGTATGCACTTTTCACTTCAGTTCACATTAAAATATCATTTGACCAAGTTATATTCTTGCTTTAACGGTTCTCATAATAATAACATACAGTAGAAAGTGTCTTTTCTGCCTATATGTTCATAGTTATGAGAGGACTGACAATCCCAGTTGCTTAAGATAAGCATTCTAGAGAAAAGGAAACTGGCAAAGAACTTAAAAATTAGACAAAGGAATTCATGGCGTTGACAGGAGAGGGCGCCTCTGAGCTCTCATTTCCTTCCGCTGGCTCTTTTTCTTTCTTACCACTATATTGTCCAATAAAGGAGCCATCCTCATTGAATTGGCCATTCACGCCCTCTCCATAGTCAACTAGGCTATCATCACTGCCCGCTTTGTCCACAGTTCTTTCTGAAGGTGTTCGACTTCCTTTTTTTGAAGGCCTTTGGTACTCTCCATCACTGGAAAAAGAAGGAAAATATTTTTTACATGGTTGGTATTTGGGTAAAGTTAGTTCTTTTTTCCCCCTATTTTCTTTCTTTTTAAAGCTCATGCATGCAAGTTACAATTGGGCATATGGAGTCTGGGGCTCCTCCCACAAGATCTAATTGGATTGGTTGGTATGAAAATCAGATGCAGAAATGGTTTAATCATGAAGTCTTCAATAGAGTGGATGGCTTCTCATTGCACATGTCAACTTCAATGACAGATTCTGGCTGGTGATTTGAAAGCAAATCAGAAATAATCACAAGCATTACAAAAGGAAGAGTTGGAAGAAGTTGAAAACAATCACTATTTTGAACTAAAGAGAGGTAAAAGTTTATGGCAAGTAGAGAAGTTAGTATATTAAACGGCTTAGTACCTATGAATTCTTGACTATGAATGGCAAATGATCTTGGTTAAATGTGAAATATGAATAATATTTTCCTCTTGAGCCAGAAGGTGAAGCAAAACTCTGAATTTTCAAATAGTTTTGTTATTGAGTGCAGGCTAGACTCACAAACTTCAACCTTACCTTTCAAGAGACCTACAAATTCCATTAAAAGGATGCAGAAGAAACAAATGAAAATAGCCTAAGAAGAAAAGCAAAATCCTTATACTGACAGCATACAGTATTTCTTTTTCTGAACGAATTTTAGTTAATGGATAAAGATTTATTAACTCAGAAAGAGAAATAATTTTACTTAAAAGCCCTAGATTTGAACAATTAATGCATGCCAATACATTTTAAAGAATATGAATGAGTTAAAAAAATATAAAAGCGCCATACATTTTCTGCACTTGTCTTTACTACTCTCTGCTGTGTGGTATGCACACATGATGTTGGTCAGAATACATTTTAAGAAGCCTATTTATGTTGGCCAGAACACCTTTTAAAAAGACTTACAATTCTTTTTTGTTTTCTTATTTATTTGTCGATTTCACTAAATACAATATTTGGAAGCAGAATAAGAATCATACTTTAGAACAACCACCTGTTTGGATCTGTAACAAGGCATGCACACTAGACTGCTCTTTTATAGGTAACATTCAGTACAAAAGGAGAAGACAATGGCAGACTCCATCACTTTGTTTTCTTTTTTATAGCAAAAAATGCCAGGTGAAAGAAGAGACATACACATACTGGTGTAAATAAAAAAGTTGTCATACAAAAAGGCTACAGTGTTTCACCCAAAAATTTGTGTCATGGCTTTATTTAAGAGAGAGACACTTTTCCTAGCTAAGAAACAAATGGTCAAATTACACACATTTTTTGATTCATTTTCCAGTAATTTCATCTAGGCTTTTTTCTCCTTTCTGAAAAAAATTCTTAAGACTGGGAAATAATGGTCACTTAATACTGTTGTTGCTGTTACGTGCCGTTGAATCACTTGTGACTCATAGCGACCCTATGTACAACAGCTCTGAACCCTGATCTATCCTGAGCCAACCGTATTGTCTCTGACACACCTACCCCCATTACCCCAGTCACTGAGTCAATCCACCTCATACAGGGTCTTCCTCTCTTTCAGTGTCCCTCCACTTTCCCAAGCATGATGTCCCTCTCTTTGCAACATGCTCAAAGTATGTTAGGTGGAGCCTCAGAATCCTTGCCTCCAGGGAGCAGCCTGGTTATAGCTGATCCTCCACTGGATTTCTGTGGCTTAAATCACTATGGGAGGACACTGTCCATCTTCCATGGAGTTGCTGGTGGATTTGAACTGCTAGAAAGGCACTGCCTTTGTGTTAGAAACACAATTTCCTGTGAATAACACTGTTAGAGAGAGCCCTCTACTGATATATGATGTTAAAAATTACTTGTTTCGGGGAGCTCTGGTGGCCTAGTGGCAAGAAACTGCACTGCAATCCCAGAGGTACGTGGTTCGAATCCACCAGATGCTCTGCTGGAGAAGGAGGGACAATCTCCTTCTGTACCAGTCAGATCAAATTTGACGGTACACACACACAAAATAATAAAATAAAATGAAATAAAATTAAAAAAGAAAAAGAAATTACGTGTTTCAACAATGGGCAGGTTCTTGCCAGGGAATAAACTACATAAATATCATGTAGTGGGGATCACTAAGGATCGTGTGGTGAGACACCAGAGCATCTTGTTTGATTTGTTCTTGGGACACTTCAGGCTTTACCACATCTAATCTCTATCCTATTATAATAATAATTTATGCAATATCTAAGAATCTTAATCATTCTCTTGCAAGTTTTTCTTGAATAAATCCTGTGAACTATTGTACGTGGCTTGATGAAAATGTTTCTTTCACTGGAGAGTTCAATAGTGAGAAAAAATTTGTTCCCTGAGTTCTAGTAATTAATCTTATTCTGTTTTTGTAAAACTGTTTTGTAATATATCAAGGAATACAGTATAGAAAATTGTAGTCAATGGCATTTCTTTGACTCAATTATCTATGCCCATCCATTCATTTACCCAATAAATTTTTATTAAGTGTCAACTGAAGACAGGCCTTGTTCCAGGCACTGGGGATATAGGAACAAACAAAATGGATTAAAAGTCCTGCTTTCCCTCATTCTGGACTCCCGTCGTGAAAACAATACCCAATCATATATTCCTTTTAAACAGTTCTCTCCCTCATCTGTTTCAATGCAGTATGCATAATTTATCCTATCTTTCTCGGTCTCCCTCCAGCCCTGATGTCAGTCCTGTTTTACAACAGTGGTACTATCCAGTATTTACCCTTTTGTGACTGAGATATTTCACTCAGCATAATGTCCTCCAGGATCATCTATCTTTAATATTTCATGAGTTCTTTGTTTTTCAGTGCAGCACAGTATTCCATTGTGTGAATATACCACAGCTTCTCTATCCATTCGTTTGTTGATGGGCACTTAGGTTGCATAGTGGAGCAGACTTGGAGGGAGGGATTGTATAACAATGAAAGAATTTTTCTTTTTTCAAAGATAAGAGTGAACTGAGGGGGGGAGGTTGGGCAGGGAAAAAACTGCAACAATGAATGAATGGAAATCCAAAGTCTGTAAACTTTCATTAAAATTAATTAATTAAAAAAATCCTGCCTTCATTGAGTGTACATTTTAGTAAGAGGAAAAACAGACAAGAAATCCTCAATATAATTAAAAAAATTACTTATAGAGTATGTTAGATGATTAGTGCTCCAGTGAAAACACAGTGAGAAAAGGGACTGTACATGTCAAGGAGGGAATGGACTTTTGGAATTTAAATTGGATCTCCACTGAAAGTGTCTTCAAGAAGGGACAGCTGGTCCTTAAAGAGTGGCATTATTCAGGAGGGTAACTGAAGGGAAAGTGTCTCTGGCTGTGAAAACAGCAGTCAAATGTCCTTGAGGTAGGGGCATGTTCAGGGCACAGGTCTTGTGTGGTTGAAGCTGAATGAAAAAGGGATGAAGTTTAACATTAAAAACTAATTCATATAATGAAACAAACTAACAGAAGAACTTAAAGAAAATGAGAACTGCAACAGGAGTGAAGATAAGGGAGGAAACAGGGCTATATCAAGATTTTGTAGGATTTTGCAAAGATTCTACTGGAGTTCTGAATATGATGTGAGCCACTGGAGAGTTTTCAAAAGATGAGCAACTGATCTGATTTACATTTTGGAAGGGCTGGGAACAGTCTATGAAGGGCAGTTTTTTAGATTACAGTCAGATTTGGATCTTGCCCACCCATGCATCTTGCTCTGTAGCTGCTTCCGTGTTACAAAGCAGAGTTGAGCAGTCACAGCCGAGAACTTATAGCCCATCATATTGGAAATACTTACAGAAAATGTTTGATGACTGTACTCTAAGAGTTTAGGAGAGATTACTCTAACAATCCAAGAATGAGTTAGACAGGAGTGGAAGAGCACATAGGATCAGATTATGGTTGTATTTTCAAGGTAGAGCTACACTGGTGGATTAGATGGGGAGTAACAAGAGGAAAAGGAAAAGCAATGATGAAACCTTCATTTTTGGTCTGAGCTGTAGGAAGGATGGAACTAATCTTACTATGAGCTCTTGAAGAAGCTGTTAATTTAGTGTAGGGAATGTTATGCTTGATATAGGTGCGGGAAACACTTGTCTTACATCTTTACGAAACTAGTACAGCACTGATATATACACTCATCAAAAATACTTAAGAAGAATACAAAATAGAGATAATCTCATCTGTAAATATGAAAAAGAGCAAACAAAGTATAAGGAAAATACACACACACACGCACACACACACATATATAGATATACCAAAATAGAGACTATATTGTTGCCAAGTTAGGTGAATTCCAGAAATGCAAGTTTAACATTAAAAACTAACTCCTGTATTGAACCATAATAACTGAAGTACTAAAAAGAAAAAAAAGTCAAAATCACAATATCACCATGAAAGACATGTAAGGCACACTGTAACATCCATTTATGATAAAGATGCTAATATACTAGGAAGAAAAAGTCTAGAGAAAATACTATCTTTGATGGTGAAAAGTTAAAAGCTTTCTGTTTGACACCAGAAATAACACAAGGATGACTGTTATCACCACTTCTAATCAATGATGCTTTGAAAATACCAAGCAATGTGATGAGTAAAATAAACAGGAATGTAAGCATTGAAAAAAAATTACCATGATTAATAACCAACATAATTGCATATGTAAAAAAATGCAATAGAATCTACAGGCAAGTATTAGAATTAACTAAAAAGCCCAATAATGCTGCTTGATGCAATATTAACATAAAAGAAAATTTTAAATAACTATGCCTTTATAAAAAATGAGAAAATTAAAAACTGATTACCATTATAGTAGCACAAACATCAATTTATATGAATAAATCTAAAAATGTGTAAGAATGGAATGAGAGCAGAAATAATGAGAATATTAATGCATTGTGAAGATCATCATCAATATCACTGAACAATTGTTGAATAGGCACCTAAACTGCTGTGTAAACCTTGTGAAAACACAGTAAAGTATTATTTTTTTTAAAAAGATGTG